TGATAGAAATGTTATAATGACAGAAACCAGCAAATGTCCTTATAGGCGTGTCAGGAAAGACCATTTTTGTTGTAGTGGCACTCTAGGATCATTTGTACTTCATATTAAAATGCATCTTTTGTGTGACGCCCCGAAAAAAAAAATGAGTTTGAGAACCCGGAAATTTTCTAAATTTCTAGGGATTATTTTATTTAATCGCCCGCCTTTTCTACATTTTCTTTATTAGAAAAATTCCCCAGATAAAGTTTATGAGCAAAGATAGTTTTAAAATGATTTTTCTAGTATCGGTTAGTTTTTGCGAAATTAAGAGCGTATTTTGGACGTGGGACCCGCTAGTGCGGTAAATGCATTATATTTTTGACAACTTGTTGGAATTTTGTATTAAGTGATATTATTTTACAAGGTGTTAAGATATTTGTATTGAAAAGACAAAAAGATAAGTTTTAAACCTAAAGGTGACAAGTGTCACCATAAGATTTAGTCTTGAGTTTGACTACTATTCATAACTTTACCATTTAAGTAAAATTGGCCAAAAATCTCTTCATTTCTTACCTCTCTTGGCCGACGTTCTGGCTCAAAGAAAGAAAGAAAAGCTCTCAATTTTCTAGTCTCCAATCTTGCCCAATCTTTCAATTAAACTGATTAATCTTCCAATTACTCCATAAAACCTCTTAGTTTGGTGGAGTTGAGCTTGGTTGTGAAGTTGTTTGGAAAGTTAAGGTGAATAGTTGCTCTATCTCTTGTATTGCTAAGGTGAGTTGTGAAGGACCCCTCTCCTTCCTCTAATGATGTTCAATTCATGATTGGTGGTGGTATAAGATGCACTTTTATGGATTATATCTTGATTTTTGGTTGAATTGGTGAAGTTTTATAATTACTGGGGATTTTTCTGTTTTAATATGAGCATGATTGTGTGGCTATCTATGATGATTGGAAATGGTATATAATGATTCTAGAAGGTGGAAAAAGTGGATAATTGCAAACAATTTCTGTTTTGGAAGAAATTTTGGAAAGTTAGGGTTTATGATTGTGCATTCTGCCCGAATTTATAGCTCATAGATAGAGGCCGAATTGGCCTTGTCTTAAAACATGAAAGTTGTAGGGAATGACATTTTAGAGGTATCTGCAAAATTTCAGGGCAATCGGAGTAGTGTAGAATGAGAAAAGTCGAAATTACTATTGCTGTTCTGGTTTTACCCGAATGTAAGAATTGCGCCTGTAATTGGTTGTTTTGGCTGGAATTGCTTCCGAATTGGTTGTTGAGGTCTTCTGATGAAATTTAGCCCTATTTCTTAGCTTTCAGCTGGTTTTCGAATTTCTGGATTTGGACTTGGATAGCCTGCTTTATGATGTTTCCGCTAGAATGCGTTCTGTGAATCTATTTTTGTGATTCTGGTATGGTATCTTGCATTTTTGACCTGGTTACACTCGAAACTAGGTTGAGTGACCTTCTGCAATGTTGTAGCCCTGTCTTTTAGCTTCGAAACGGTGTATCTTGTACCTTCATCCGACAATCGTAGCGCCTTTGGTACCATTACCGCAAAATGACGTCAAAACTGTTTTTCTGGTTTTGAGCTTAACTTTCATTTCCGGACTTTTCCCTAGCTTGACTTGTACTAGTACTACTTGGAGCTTGCTGAATGGCTATTGGATGAACTTGTTGTTGTGTGTGTACCTTTGGGACTGGATGAGGAAATAATGAAGCCATGATGGCTGGAAAAGTTAGCAAATTCAGGGGAAGTGCTGTCCGAACTTTGAAGGGAATTGTTTGCATTGAGTTTGTGATTAAGACTTGGATTTGAGTAAGGCAATGATATTGATGGATGATTTCTGAGCCATGGAGGTGAGTGATCCTAAACTATTTCCAAAGTACTTGTGAAATGTTTCTTGCATTATGTACTCGATTGCATATCATGCGTGCTTGCATGTGAGTTCATGACATGATTTGGCTTCAATGAGTTCTGGAAAAGTCTTGTGCTGGACACCAACGTCTCCACTCTGTTTATGGTTCATGTTCATGTTTATCTGGAACTCAAGAAGGGGCTCCCTCTTAATGTTAATATTAATGTTAAATGATCTATTTGAGCGTTGGGTGTTCAAGTGCTATGATTTCCCTGGCTCACGAGAGCACTAAACGAACATTTGATCTCTGAATCATGACATCATCGAAATGATCGAAATGCAACATTGTGAAATATATTTGTTTAATGATTTTACTGGTTTCTCGCTGAGCTTCTAGCTCACCCCAAAAATATTTTATTCCCCTCCACAGGACTCAAAGCGAATGAAGGACTTGTTGTGCTTATTCACATGTCTGGATGGCCTATATCTTGTACAGTTTGGATTTGGGAATCATTTTATGTATAGTTGGGAATCGTTTCCGCTTCACTTATGACATGTAATTATTGGAGAATGTGATGTAATATTTGAGATTTATCTTGTAATCTGTTTGAGGAATGTAGTGAACGACTGAGTCCCGGCAAGAGCTGGGCAGGCGGCCCGCCAAACCCTCTGGTTCGCCTTAGGGGGAGGTGGGGCTGTCACATTTTGTATTTTCTCTTTTGATGTTTCAAGTACTCTGTACTAATGGATCTTGGTTAACATTGATGGTTTCTAGTTGAATTGCTAATGTATTTTGGTTGATATTTCTCTGTTTGATACTTCTTTTGGTATTCATTCTCAATTTTTGGCTGATGATTGATGTTGGTATGTTGGTGATTGCTGAATTATGGTATCATTTCTCTATTTTTGATTGGTATTTTGGATTTTCTGTTATGACAACTACATTATACATTATGGTTGTTGGATTTTACTCTTATCTTATGATGACAAAATGGGGAAAAAATGGATGCTATGTGAAAGGGGGAGTTATTCTTAAACTATAAGTTTGGCATTTAAAATTTTTGTTGCAATAAGTGAGGGGGAGCTTATGCTCAATTTTTTTCTTTCTTCCATTCATTGTTTTGTTATCATCAAAAAAGGGGAGAATGTCGACCTTGGTCCCTAGTTTTTTATGTTTATAAAATAATGGATGATACTAATATCTCTTCAAGAAATACTTTCACTTATGAAACAAATCTGATTCAAAGAACAAGAGCATTTGAAAGTGATAAAGGAAGTTGAAAGCTGTCGGACGCTCGAAAAAACAACATCGGATGTCCGATAAACAATGCAGCACTTCAGACGCAAAACATTAGAGGTACCAGATGTGCGAAAGAATTAAGATGATTTCTCAAACTCACTGTCTGCTGTCTGACACAAGTATCAGCTGTACCGCACGTCCGATACTTCCAACAGCTAGTTGATTCTTCAGCTGCCTTATATCTGTTGAAAATATTAATGAAGCACTTTCTTGATCTCATATAAATAGAGTATGGTCAGAAACTTCAAATAACTTTTGTACATACAAAAGATATAGAGTAAGTTTAGTGAGAAAACACTCTCCAAAAAAGATTTGTAGTTTTGATGGTATGAAGTTCATTTAAACTTTTCATTTATGAGTGAATAGTTCAATAGTGTAACTCTGTGAAAGTTGTCCTGAGGGATAGTAAAACTTTCTAACTTGACCGAATGGAGTTTAGGGCAAGGAGGAAGTGAGTTTTCCTTTATACACAAGATTGGTTGTATTTCATCATCTTGAAGAAGTTTGTTTGAGTTGATCTTCAAATTCAAGAGGAGTTTGGTAGTCAATTGGTTTGCAATTCTTTTCTTCTCATTTACTTATTGTTATGTTGTGATCCTTAAATTGCTTATCTCTTCTATTTCTCTCAAGTGATATTGTTCATTCATTGATTGATTTATTGTGTGTTCACTTAAAAAAGAGGATAAATTTCATATTGAACAAAAAGTGCTCATAACTTGATTAGCTTTTTAATATAACTAATTCACCCCCCTCTTAGGTTGTTTTCGATCCTTACACAAAATATCAAAAAATACAAAAAAATTTCCCTTTTTCTTTTCTTCTTTTTCGTCCCCTACCTCAACTGTCGGCAACAGGTAGAGGGTTTTTTTTTTTCCCTCTTTCCCTCCCTCCCCCTCTCCTTTTCCCTCTTCTTCTTCCTGCTCCCTCACTCTCTTCTTCTCCTCCACTCTCACTTGCTGCCTCTTTTCCCCTCTGATCCTGCACGAACTAGTTGTAGGGGAGGGATAGGGCGGGGAGAGAGGCAGCAAGTGAGAGTGGAGGGGAGGGGAGGGGAGGAGGAAGGAGGAGAAGGAAAGGGAGAGGGAGAAGAGAAAGAAAGAGAGAAAAAGAAAAAAAAAAGAGAGAGGGAGCCTGTTGCTCCCAGCGCCGGTCGCTGGTGGAGGTTCCAACGCTGGCAAGCAGTGAGTGGTGAGGTGAAGGAAGAGGAGAGAAGAGGAAAGAAAAAAAAAAGAAAAAAATTTCTATCTTAAAACTTTTTCTACAAATTTTACAATAAATTATAGTAAAGTTTTATGTAAACATCTACAAAATTTATTTACCAAACGGGGCCTTAATATTTCAAAATCTTAACCCAATTCAGTGCTTAAAATTAATGGATCAAAATCTTAACACATTGAAACGTGTTTGATAATAAAAAATAGAACATTATAATTAATTAAGTGGATCTGAATTGTGCACGTAAATTTTAGTTCAAAAAATAAGTAATAAACTTGTTTAGAGAATATAAGTATTCTTGTAGATAATAAATTAGTAAGGGTATTCTTGTAAATAGTTTGTTAGGTTTGTACTTCTATAAATACTAGTTGGTCACTCATAATACAGTGACTAGATGTTTTCCTCCCAAAATACCAGTTAACATGGTATCAGAGCAAAAGTCCTAGGGTTAGGGTTAAACATCTAGTCAAAAGTACTGTTCAGCCGCACTATTCATCGCGGTACTGTTCACGGGGCACTGTTCACGGCGCGACACTGTTCACACGTACTGTTCACGGCATACTGTTCACACGTCAACCATTCGCCATGGTTGAAAGGTTTGTTAATGCGGTCACCAATGACTGCATTGAATCGAGTTTTTCAGCATATGGGTCCCAGAAGACTGTTACTATATCTGAGGAAGATTATGTTAAATTCCTACAGTACCAAGCTATAAATCACGCATCTCTTCCCTCTGCTTCTTTAGCACAAAAAGGTAATGACTCATGGATTATTGACTCCGGGGCTACTGATCATATGTCAGGTATCTCTAAAATTTTTTCTAATTTTCAAGAGTCTACTCCCTTTTCCTCATGTTACTTTAGCTGATGGATCTACCACTAAAGTTAAAGGACTAGGCACTGTAGAAATTAATCCATCACTTCCGCTGTCTTCTGTTCTTTACGTACCCAATTTGCCCTTTAATCTAATGTCAGTTAGTAAGCTCACTAAATTTCTACAGTGTACAGTTACTTTTTCTCCTGATTCTGTTGTCATTCAGGATTTGAAGACAAAGAGGACGATTGGTGGAGGGCATGAGCATAATGGTCTTTACTTTCTCAACTTCAATGGTCCAATAGCATGTCCTGCTACTGTTTCTCCTCTTGAAATTCACTGTCGTTTAGGTCATCCGTCTTTACAAAATTTGAAAAAGTTGGTTCCTACTTTGAGTCAATTATCTTCGTTAGAATGTGAGTCTTGTCAGTTAGGAAAGCATCATCGTGTTTCTTTTGCTCCTAGAGTCAATAAACGGGTTTCTGAACCATTTTTGTTAGTTCATTCTGATGTTTGGGGTCCTAGTCGAGTCACTTCAAAGTTAGGTTTTAAATATTTTGTAGTTTTTGTTGATGATTTTTCCAGAGTTACATGGCTTTATTTAATGAAAGATCGTTCAGAATTATATTCCATTTTTTGTGCATTTGTTACAGAAATAAAGAATCAATTTGGTGTGCCTGTACGTATACTTCGCAGTGATAATGCGAAAGAATATTTTTTCACTCCTTTTAATACCTTTATGACTAAGTCTGGTATTATTCATCAGTCCTCTTGTCCTCACACTCCACAATAGAATGGAGTTGCTGAAAGAAAAATTGGACATTTAATCGAAATTGCTCGAACATTGTTGTTGCACACGAATGTGCCCAAACAATTTTGGAGTGATGCAGTTCTAACTGCATGTTATTTAATTAATCGCATGCCATCTAATATTCTTGGAGGTCAATTACCTCACTCCATTCTTTTTCCTCATGAACCTGTGTTTAAATTGCCTCCTCGTATTTTTGGATGTGTGTGCTTTGTTCATCAGCTTGCTCCCGGGGTGGATAAATTAGATTCTCGTGCTATTAAGTGTATTTTCTTAGGATACGCACGAGCGCAAAAAGGGTATAGATGTTACAGTCCAGTTTTAAATCGATTTTTTACTTGTGCTGATGTTACTTTCTTTGAATCTACTCCATATTTTATCAAACAAAGTATGTCTTGTGAGTTAGACCAGTGTCCCTCTTTTTCCTCTCCTGTTTTGCCAGTCCCTTCCCCTTTATTACCTGAGTTATCTAGTCCCCCAGATTCCATAGCTCGATTATCTCGTCCTCATCTTCAAGTTTACTCTCGTCGTTTCATGGTTGAGAAAGTTTCTGATATGCCACGCACTTCACCAATTAACTCTCAATTTTCAAATCCAGGTATGACGCCCTCTTCTGAGTTAGATCTTCCTATTGCTTTACGCAAAGGTAAGAGACATTGTACTTCCCATCCTATTTCTAATTTTATTTCTTATTCTCGTCTCTCTATGTCATATTCTTCTTTTGTTGCTTCCCTTGATTCTATTTCCATTCCTAAGTCTATTACCTATGCTCTTAATCATCCTGGTTGGAGATTAGCTATGCAAGAAGAGATGTCTGCTTTGGAACAAAATGGTACTTGGGATCTTGTCCCTCGTCCTTCAGGTAAGTCTGTTGTTGGTTGTAAATGGGTGTACACTATAAAAGTGCAGCCTAATGGTTCTATTGATAGATTGAAGGCTCGTCTGGTAGCTAGAGGATTTACTCAGGTGTATGGAGTAGACTACTTAGAAACATTTTCTCCTGTTGCAAAGATTACCTCTGTTCGTCTTCTTATCTCTTTGGCAGCAACTTATAATTGGCCATTGTATCAGTTGGATGTGAAAAATGCATTTCTGCATGGAGATTTGGAAGAAGAGGCATATGTGGAACAACCTCCTGGATTTGTTGTTCAGGGGGAGAATCCGCGGTTGGTTTGTCGTTTGAAAAAATCCTTATATGGATTGAAACAGTCTCCGAGGGCTTGGTTTGGCAGGTTTAGTAGTGTTGTCATGGAATTCGGTCTGACAAGATGTGGAGTAGATCACTCTGTATTTTATCGGCATTCTAATGCTGGTAAAATTTTATTAGTTGTTTATGTGGATGACATTGTGATTACAGGTGATGATGTTGTGGGGATCCAGAAACTTAAATCCAATCTGCAGGCAAACTTTCAGACAAAGGATTTAGGTCATCTACAGTATTTTCTGGGTATTGAGGTAGCTCGGTCTAAATATGGGATTTATTTATGTCAAAGGAAATATGTACTCGATATGTTGAGTGAAGTTGGGATGTTAGGTTGCCGACCTGTGGATACTCCTATGGATCCCAATGTGAAATTAGCAGGAGATCAAGGTGCATTACTTGATGATCCTAAGCAATATCGAAGACTTGTGGGTAAATTAAATTATCTCACTGTAACGAGACCTGACATTTCGTTTCCAGTGAGTGTTGTGAGTCAATTTCTTGATACCCCTCGTACTAGTCATTGGGATGCTGTTATACGGATTCTCAGGTATCTTAAGAGTGCTCCTGGAAAAGGGTTGCTGTATCAAAATCATGGACACGCTGATATTGAAGGATATAGTGATGCAGATTGGGCTGGTTCTGCCTCAGATCGAAGATCGACTACAGGATATTGTGTGTTCGTTGGTGGTAATTTAGTGTCGTGGAAGAGTAAGAAGCAAACAGTTGTATCCAGATCAAGTGCAGAATCTGAATACCGCGCTATGGCTCACACTGTGTGTGAGTTGGTTTGGTTGAAGAGCATGTTATTGGAACTTGGGTTTGAGCATAAACAGCCTATGAATTTAGTGTGTGATAATCAGGCGGCTGTTCATATTGCGTCTAATCCAGTGTTTCATGAAAGGACAAAACATATTGAAGTTGATTGTCATTTCATTCGAGAGAAATTGCTTGATGGGGTCATCAAGACATCTCATGTACCGTCTGTAGATCAATTGGCTGATGTGTTTACCAAGAGTTTAGGGGGCTCTAGGGTGAAATACATTTGTAACAAGTTGGGTGCTTATGATATATATGCTCCAACTTGAGGGGGAGTGTTAAGAGAATATAAGTATTCTTGTAAATAAGAATTTTTATCAATTCCTATGAATATCTATGATTTTCCAAAGTTGACTGAATTTGGACACCTGCTCTATTTTTCTACTTGACGAAGCAGCAATTTGAGACTGGAATTTGACTGATTTATGGACAGAATCTTACAAATATATATTCTAAAAAATTGTAGTCCTTTGAATCTATTTTTCAACGGTATAAATTTTATAAATTTTGGCTTAAGAAGCTTGCGATACGATTATTCAAACAATGTCGCGCAAAACTGGAGAAAATTCTGTTTCCAAATGTATGCATGCTGACTGGTTTTCTTGAGTTTATTTCTCTTCACTTTTTGGTTTGTTTTGATGAAAGTTTGGCTCAATCTTGTGCTATAAACTTAGTAGAACTCTTGTGGACTGATTTGTAGCGAAAGCCATGCATTTAATTTGAAGAAAACTTGAGTTTTGATTGGCTTTTGAGTTGAATTTCCTGATTTTTGGGTATAGAACAGGGCTGGTGTTTTGGCCTTGTTTCGCCTTTGATTCATGATAGTTTGGACTTGAAATCTCTTGTGCTATTTGCCAACACATAATACTACATTTGTGCATTAATTTGGTCATAAACCGATTACTCAAAGGGAGCGAAAATTAGCTATTTTTCACTGCCATAAAACTGGAAAATTTCCAGTATTTGTACCCTTTCATGTATTTATTGTTGTTCTTAGTTTTTGATCTGAGAAACATTCTTTTCGCTCCAAACCTTGATTGAATCATAAACCTAACGTGTATTGGTGACCTCCTTGAACTTGCACCTTCGCGTAGGTTTTAAAACTTATGTCCTTTTGAAATCTCTTTTGGGTCATTTGTCGCTTCGAAGCCGAGTCGCTCTAGTAGCTCTCCTGATCATTCCTTCTTTTGTTTAGTTGCTCTAGTTGGAATTTAAAGTTTCGTACTTGCTTGAATATAGGTTTTGGTGTAGAAAACGAGAACCTTGGTGGACCATTTCATTTGCTCTACTTTGTCGGTGAGTGATCCAATGCATGTTATTTGATTATGCATGACTTGAGAAAATGTTATTATTTGCTTAAGTTCCCTCCTTTGAATGACATGCAATTAAGTGAATGACTGTTGTGATTTTCTTGTCTTGTTAATTTGCTAAGAGCCCAAGTTCACATTGCATGAATGAGTGATAAATGTGCAAGAATGTAGGCCGATGTGTATTTTATCGCATTAGTTGAACTGAGCTTAACCCTATGCCGGCACCCTATTCGAGACCTGCCATTTGCGAGGTCGGATCAGCTGGACAGCTTTGGATTTATAACTTACCAGTGTTAAGTGCAAAGCTCAAAACTCTTTGTTGAAAGGCCTTTAGTACAATGTTTAATGTTTAATGTTAAATGAGGGGATTGTTGATTTTTCGGAGGGGCATAAGGTGAATGTTAAATGAGGGGATTGTTGATCTTTCGGAGGACATAAGATGGGAGTTTGGAGGTTATAAGGTGGTAAAATGTAGGGGATTGTTTGTTGGCAGTTATAAGGTGAATGTTGCTCCATGTGAGCTCCGTATCTTTTTAATGTTTAAAGTATTATTCATCCTTGTATTTACTTGAACGAATGATTGAATGCACGCATGAATGTTATCAAGTATGTTACATTGAAGGATTCCTATTACAATTAATTGCTCCACTACCAGTTTTTAAAGTTGAGTATCGATTTACTTGAACTTATATTACTTGAAAAAATGTGTTTACATGTTAAATTGTATTATTCTCTTATTTTGCCTGTTTACCTGGAATGCTTACTGGGCGTAAGCTCATCCCACATTTTGTTTTTCTTAACAGGATTCGGATCTGAAAGTGCTCAAGAATACTGTTAAAATGTTTGAGAGACTTTAAGTTTTATTTTAGTAGAAATGACTGTAGTGTATATATTTTGGGTTGTAATTAAGATAGGCGCCAAATGATGAATCTTTTGTACGCGGACCTATGTAATAACTTTTGGAGGTATGTAAATATTATTTTGAGGTGTAATGAATATTATTTTGGTTAGTTTAGAAATTTCAAGTAATTCTTGTTATGGATGGTAGTGAGTCCTGACAAGAGTTGGGCAGGCGGTCCGCTGACCCCTCTAGTTTGTCTTTGGGGAAAGTGGGCTGTCATATATT